ATATAATTTATTTATTTTGTCAAATATAAACTGAAACTGAAATAAGGAGATACACGCATCCCTTATAGTCAACTTTTAACAAGGCGTGAACTTTCTAGAAGTTCTCATGGATTACTGCTGTGGAGGAGGGTGAAGAGAGGAGGAATGGGAGAGAGAGAGAGAGAACGAGAGCGTGAAGCACTCATGTGAAAATATTAACTCTGGTCTTATCTAAATGAAACTGGAGTGAACAGGACGACCAGACAGAACTTGGTACAATTTGCATATGAAAAAAAAGCTGCAGATCAAGGCTCATTATTTAAGGAACTGTAAGTTTCTTATACGCCAAATCTCATTAAAGCTGCTGCGTTCACACTTTTGTTTACTGCAGCTAATCGTGTCATTTATCTTTATAGTCGGGCGCTGCGTGTATGTTTGCTGAGATTAATACACATTTGAGCTGCTGCCTGCTTCAGCTGCTGCAGATGTATAATTGATTTTAAAGTGAATCTGAGCTGTTGAGCCATAAAATAGGTATATTAGCTTGAACATTAATAATGCAAATCAGTGCCTGAGATAGCAGCTGCCAGGGGAGGACCCAGCCTTTTTACCCACAATGCACTGAGGTAGACAGTTAGCTCAGCTCAGCTTATACCAGCCTCTCATCCAGTTAAATTTTTTTCTCTTCTAGTCTCATGTTTTTTTTTTTTCATTTAGTCTCTTCTGTTCTCTTGTTTTTTTTTTCTCATCTAGTCTCATTTACTACTCTACTTTTTTCTCATTTCTTCTCTTATATTCTCCTATAATTTCTCGTCAAAATAAGCTGTTTTGTTTCTTTCTCATTTCAACTTCCCCTTTTCTCATAATTATTATTTTTTCCCTCGTTTTTGTCTTGCCTGATCAATTTTTTTTCTGGGCTTGCCTCTTCTCTTCTGGTCTTGTCTTGTCTCTTCTCATCTGGTCTCATGTCTTCTGTTCGATTCAAGTCTAATCTCTTCTATTTTGGGCTTTCTGATATCTTCTGTTCTCTTCTCATTTTGTTTAATTTCTTCTCATCTCAGCTTTCTATTCTAATTTTTTTTCCTCTTCTTGCCTATTCTTGTTTCTTCTCATTTTGTCTCTTCTGTTTTCTTGGCTTAACTTTTAAATAAGTTCAGATTTTTTTGTCTTTATATCGTTTCTCTTCAGTTCTTGTCTCATCTCATCTCATTCTGCTGTTTCTTTGTATTACTTGCTTGTCTCATTTCTTCTGTTTTATTTTGTTCTTGTCTAATTTCTTCACCTTCTTTTTGTTCTCATTTTTCTCATGTTTTTTTTCTTCATCTTGCATCTCATTGAATCTTATCTTGCCTCTTTTCTTCTGGTCTTGTCCTGTCTTTTCTCATATCTTCTATTCTCATCTCATCTTTTCTCTTTTGGTCTCTTCTAATCTTTTCTTGTCTATTTTCATTTGTCTCATCTTATCTCATTTTGTCTCTTCTCAACTGTTTTCTTCTGATGATTCTCCTCAGTTTTCTCTTCAAGAATACAACTTTTGTTTAGACACATCACACACAAACTTGTGTGAGCACATCCTCCCTGGAAGAACCTTTTTTTAGGCAGTGTATTCTATGAGAGCTGTCAAAAGTGTTTTCATTGCTGTCAACTGATATTGAGTGACTCATGACAGGTTTGGGAAGTCTTAAGTGCACATATGCCAACTCTGCACGAAGGTGTTTGGAGTGATTTTTCTGAAATCTGTGTCGTGATTTATTACTGAGCAGTGGTGACTGCTGTTTCACGTTCTTGTTTTGGGAAAAACATGAAATTAATACAGCATGTAAATTTCAAAGAGAAAACATGAGAAAATAAGGCCAAGAATAACACATCAGAATCACTGTCTCTTTCACTCGGCAGAGTAGCATCAGAGAAAACAGATGGCAGTGAAATTCACTGTAGTTGCCACTTCGTTTAAAGTGCTTATGTGCTTGAACATACTGTTGTGATATTCATCCTCCTTTTCAAGTGCTGCTGCTCTTGTGACAGTGTTACATATACACAGCCTCATCCAGATATATCTAGTAATTACTAGTTACTGATTGACCAAGGTTAAGGGTTAAGCATGATTTTATCCCACCGGGCTGATGTTGTTTCTGTCTATATGTGCGTTTGTAGGTTATCCAAACATTGTGGCAACGTATGGTCGTGGATACACAGGATTTTCTCCTAGCTACAGTTACCAGTTTCCAGGTGAGTCTGTCTGTCTGTGTACCTCACTCGTTATGAAACTGCAAACTGTCATGTAATTCAGCATCATTTTGGGAGCTTGTTACATGCACACGTGTGCATGTCAGTGAAAGGTGTGTGTGTGTTTGTTAGAGGTGTGAAGGTGAGCGCATTTTTCTGCTGCTGGTGGCAGATATTAGTGTTGATATGAGTGTCCTGTGGATGGCCACCTGCCTGCTGATATCATGAGCAGAGCTAATGGATTTTTCTTCTGTGGGTGTGACGTTGATCTTTCCCCAACATGTTTGTTCATACTGTAGTGCACATTTGTAGTTTCAGTGTAGATTTGTTCTGTTGCAAACATTTTTGTCAAGTTTTAAAGAAAAAAATAATTTGCTATTTTTGTCTTTGTTTTAGTTAATGATAGCAACACATCAAAAGGGTTTATGAGACCCATATTTTCTCTTTCTCACAGGGCTTAGTAGTTTTTCAAACATTTCTGTTCAGAATAGTAATAAATTATATTTAACAGGGTTAACTCATAAAAAGATACACATACACACAAGAACACACAAACTGACAGTCCCATTCACATAAACACACACAATCTCTCTGTGCTCTGATCTGTGGTGAGCCTCAAACTCTTGCACAGTTACTCATCTTTATGTGACGGCACCATACCATAAAATCAAACTACAAGAACATCTGTCTTTCTCTTGCTGTTTCTTTAGTACTGAAACTAGAAATGAACCCTGAAATGGGACAGCAGTGACACACACACACACACACACAGAGCGTAAAGCCAGGAATTCTCTCTCACACAAAACTGTCTGAATCCGTGTGAGATCATGAATGAGCTACTGACAAACCGAGAGATCTCTCCTTCTCAGCTGTCATTATGGAAATCAGCCATTTGTAAGGAGACTTTGGGAGAGCCGTTGTGCCCCTATTGATTTTTTAATGCTCTGTCTTTGTATCATCTCGAATGTGCATTGAATTTTGAATCTGGCGTTTGTGTTTCTTGCATTCCCACACTTACAGATGTGCATCTATTGGCTATAGTTGTTGTTTTGGAGTCTTTTTAAAATGCTTCCTGTTTTTGAATGGCACATAAAAGAAAGAGAATGAAATATGGATTTTCTCTCATTTTTGATGTAGTGTAGTACTTTACCACCAAAATGTAATTCATATACTGTGTATATATATTTATTTAATGTAATTTATAAATTATTTATAGATCATCTATATAGATAGATAGATCGATAGATCGATCAAGGATAGACACCTGAGGCCTAGATTTTGCAGGTGACTTGCAGGGTTCTTTTACTTGTTCTCATCATAAAAGCTCTTCAGATGTTCTCAAGTAACCCACAAATTGCTCTAGCAGTCAATGTCTTTCCTAACTGTCTGGAGTTGTTGGGGTCTTTTTAAATGCCTAAAGATGTTTCTTAAGTGTTTGGTGAAGGCCATTAAAATGCATAATCAACACTCACACCTGTCACCCAGGATTTTTGTCATATTTCTCATAAATTCTTACGTTGTTTTTTTCTTAGCTATACTTTACACATTTCAGCAGAAACCATCATTCTGGAAACATTTCCATTAGAAACAGGCCAAGCGCTTCGACTCTTTTGTGCCTGGGCAGGGAATGATTTATTTTCGACAACAAATTTCGGCCTGCTTTATCGTGTTCTGGCACAAGCGCCTGATCTGTCGAAAGACACAGAGAGATGGTTTTGTTTTATGGAATGGAAATGCGTGTCACCTCCATGATATCTGCTTCAGAGTGGTGCATCAATGCTTCCTTCCATTGCACACACACTTACACACGTGATTCATGGCCCATTTGTTTCAAAAACAGAAAGATCGGTGAGATGAGATCGTATACTCTTTTTGGAGTTGCGCAGTCACGGCTGTCCTCCTGCCCATAAAATTGTCTCTCATTATGGTGTGGGGTGAAACTCATGGCTGGCTGGTGACGTTTGAAGGTTTTGCGTTGTCCAGGGATCTTTCTGGAGATTTCTACTCCCTCCTTCATCGTTAAGTTTAATGGTGTATGAAAGAGATAAAAAAAGATTGAACCCTTTAATCTGCCTGGCAAAATGACTTTTTGTCCCCTAATCAAACATCAGAAGACTCTCAATGAAGATCCAGCTCATTCATTTTGGGCAAAACCTCTCACATATGAAAACTGATCTTAGTTTAGACACCTGTGCACAAAAACCCTTTCATAATGGCTTTTCTGGGTTTTTATACTGTTGTGTAGGAAGCAAAGAAGTGTTTATATGTATGCATGTTGTGTTCTTCATATAGACACCACCTGTACCAAAGGCTCCTGAGATCCACCTTTGATATCGCATGAAAAGCTTTCACAAAACTACAAACAGCATATCATTTTTTTCCCATATGCAGCAACAACAGGTCACTCGCTGCACAGATGAAAAGATAGTCAAGGCTGCTGCCTTTTCCAGCTCTTATTATGGTAGCTTTCATTGTTTTTATTTTCCTTTCAAAGTGGGCAATGAAGGCGCAGATTTTGTCATTTCACAGCTCCGTGTTGTTTGATAGGACACAAACCGTGTGTGTGGGCTCACATCAGATGTATTTATAGCCTAATTTCAGGACATGTGGCTCTTTTCAGCAGCTGTTTCCTAAAGCAGGGTAGCTCTAGCGTAGTCAGACTGAAAGGACATCTTTCTCTCTCCGTACCATCTATGATAATGAGGCTAGTGCTTACTTGTAAGAAATAGATTTGTTAATTTTTCTGTAAGAACAATCTGTTTTTAGGGCATTGCTGGCTGATTTCTAGGGTGTTCTGTGTGAACCTGTCATCTGCAGCAGTCAGTGTTCTTCAGGCCTCGTATAGCATTCAAAATTCCTTCTCTTTCCTTCTTTCTCTTCTTCTTCCTCCTGTCCATGTCCCTCTTCCTCTCTCTTTCAGTGTCGTAGACCCCTTCTGCGCTCCCTCAGGGTCCATTTGTGCGGTTTTATGGTGCCCAGGGGAGAGCAATGTGTCCTTGTGCCCTCTCAGTAGGGTTTTTCTCTCCCATCAGCCCATTCGCTGGAGCAGATTCAAATAACGCCATAAAACTGAATGCTAAATGTTGGCGTTATCTCGTCCGTAATGAAAAGCCCATGAAATTGATTTAATGCTGCAGCGCCTCTCTCAAGCAGCCTTTCACGGCAGAAACACAAAACAATGAGCCTCCGAGATCTAATAATTAACCCACCTAATCCGGCAAAGTTAATCTCTCACAAGAACTTTGTTCCAGCGTTAACTTTGACGAAGGGAGAGAGACCGCTGGGGGACAGAAGATGCTGTGCAGAGGAAGAGACGAGGGGGGAAAAGCAGCACAAATGACTTGTGACACTTTGGTGAAGGACACTTGTGCTCGGCAACAGCGAGCAGAGCGAAAGAGAGGCAGGGACGCGTGACCTCCATTAGCATTAGCATTAGCATACTGATTTGTGGTTTGTGAAGAGATTAATGAGCTGGGGAAAGAAACAGGAAATGACATGCGTAATTTAAACCAGAGAGACCACAGAGGTTTGGTATTATCTATAACCGTCTTTAATCTGGTCCTGTATTATTTTTACTCTTTTTACGGCTTTTTTTTTTAATTTTTTTTTTTGCTCCACAAACTAAGCTATTATATACATGCCTACATCATGATTTTTTTTTTTTTTCTTTCTTTTTTTTTTTTAATTGAGTATCCATATGACAGTTTTCTCTTTTTAAATTTGTTTTTTATTTATTTGCTCTTTTTATTAAGGTTAGCCATATGTCAAATATTTTACTTTTTTTCAGTTTTTAATTTTTCAATACCTAGGCAAATTTTCTCTTAATTTGATTAATTATTATATAGTTTTTCTTTTTTTCATGATTTTTTTTCTTTTATATTCAATTTTCACATTTCTATTAATTTTGATTCTTTTTTTAATGTTTTAATGTAATATATGTAATTTTTAAAAATGTTTATTTAAATTTAGAAAAATGTTTCTTTTTTTTTTTTTTTTTGAGTAGCCATATGGGAAGTATTTTTGATTTTTTTTTTATTTATTTAATTTTGCTTTTATATTTTCATTTTTATTGAGTGGCCATATGGCAAATTATCTCTAACACTAATCTTTTTTTTTTTTCTCCTCCTCCTTTCTTTTATTTTTTGCTGTTAGATGTGATTTGCAGTGCAATATAGGAACAGTCCCTCTGGAGTAACCAGAGTGTTAAATGCCCTGCTTAAGGTTATAATGGTGATAGTTGAGGGATCACCCCATCTAACCTACAAACATTGGGTTGCCCATCTCAAATCTTTACCTCCTAAGCCACTCCACCTTCTGAGTTGTGAGTTTACAGTCTGGTGTAATGACATGCTGTAGATGGGCGTAAGACCCCCTTGTAAGTCTTTACTGCTCTGATGAGCAGCTGTCAAACGCAGATTCACACCTTCATTAAAGTGCCGGGACTGTAATTACATTTGTTATGAAATAATGCAGCCGTAGATACTCTGGACTGGTGGCTTTTTTAGTTGGCTTCTACAATGATGATGATTATGTTTGATTACAATGTTTGAACACTGAACTAGTGACTGTTGTTAAATATGTAGATTCTTCAGCGGTCTCGGTTTACCACAAACAAATTGCATTCTGTGAAGCACAATGTCATTCAACAGAGTTTGGCTTGTTGTTCAGTATTAAGCTGAGTAGAAATCATCAGCGGTTGATTAATTTTTTTTCATAAACTTCCAAGAAGCACATTTAGATGAGCTGTATGAGGACACATACACACTCATTATTACCTGCCATTATGGACCTTAAAGAGTACCACATGTCCTCTGATGCTTCTGAATGAGATAATAGGCACTATGTTGCAAGCAATTAATCCCACAATCCTCTGCTCTCAGCTCTACTCTGTCCGCTCACGCTCCATGTCCACCATACAAATGATCACACTGATGGATTGAGCGCTGATGCATCTCCGTCAACTCTACTAACACATGAGGGAAGACAGGCGCTGTGTTAAATCACATGGTTTCTGTATCCTCTGGTGGCATTCAGTCAAACAAGTACATTTGTCCTCCCAATGGAGTAATCATTTTTATAAATACCCATAATTCTGTGCTGCTCACCTCGCATTAGAGCATTATGAGAAAGCTTCTGAAGCTGTGTAAAGTAAGTGCAAATGAACTGTAATATGTTGCATTTTTCTGAGCCGGTATGTGAAAGAAAAAGCTGATGGTCCTTCCATGGGCCACGTGTTCCTGTGCTGTCTGTAATTAAAATGTTGCCAGGAAAGAGAGAGAGAGAGGCTGTAGATCAGTCCTGCTAGCATCACTTTAAACGACTAATTATATTTGAGTTCTTTTGATTTATATGTAATTATTTGAAAGATGATGTAGCATCTCTCTCGTGTGTGTTGCATTAGTGTGAATAGAGTTGTTCTTTGAAGCTCTGATGCATTCATATGGCTGTAAATTTGATTGCGATGAAGAGCACTAGTAAATAATTTTCTTCTCTCGGCAGGTTTCCCAGCGACTGCGTACGGACCTGTGGCGGCAGCAGCAGTGGCGGTGGCGCGAGGCTCAGGTAGGGCGACCCGGGGAAGAAGCGGCTACATGGCGTACCCACAGAACGCAGGGCCAGGTAAACACTCTTTACCGCCTGTGTTCTGAGTGGCCACTGCTCCCCCCAGCCAAAAACACACACACTCACTTTCACTAGTGTCCTGTTTCACATTATTCACTCGTCATGTGCCCTAAACTGTCATTTCATAGATTCCATTGCATCTTTGTTGAACAAGATAAATCTCTCTGCTAAGACTGGCTAAAGACTGTACTCTGCTTAGAAACCTTCCCACGGTTAATGCAGGGTTAATCAGTAGAGGGCACTGCAGAGATCAGTTCCAATCTTGAACCTAAACTTTACCGTGGCCTGGGAAGTGTTCGTTTTAGTGCCCTCTGATGTGAATGACTCTGTAGCACTATACAGAGGAGTATATCCATCTCAGTAGATCATCTAGAATCCTTACCACTCTCTGTCAAGAGTTTGAAGTGATGTACATGGGTTTAACACAGGTAGTCAAACATATAGTCAACATGAAGAGGATTTGAGAACCGGGGGTGTGCAATGTTCAGAATTTTGAATTGAGTTAGCAGACAGGATGCAGAATTGCAGTTCTAATCTGAAAACAAGAAAGTGGAATTATAATGAATTTAATTCAAAGACATTCAAATAACTAATTTTTAACTAGAAAAGCTTCAAATGTTGGCATGACAAAAGCCTTGTTTGAAAGTTTTGAAAAAAGTTTAAAAGCCCCATGTTTTAGGATGGACAGATAGATATTTGAAATGTCATCTATAGAAATTTTTATTTAGTTTATGTATTTCAGCATATTTAATACATTAAGTTCTTGCCTAATTTGAATTTCTTTGCAATTTCAATTATTTTTACTGTGACTCGTGTCACTTTCTGTGACTCGTGGCCAATTCAATTCAAATTCACACTCCTTAACGGAAAGGGAGTAAATGAGATTTGCCCAGCTCTGTTCTCAAGATAAGTGTGTTGCCGAGACTTTCACTTGAAAAGCATTATGGAAAGTGTCCATTAAAGCAAATGAAAGACTTTTTGCCATGCACCATTTTGTTTTCTGAATGTCAAGATATTCCTCCAGCATTGTTTCGTACAACATGATGTATGAAGACACACATAAGATTTGATTTTAAGGGTCAGATATGGCCAAAGTTTAAATTGTTGAATTTGAACATCACGTACCAGGGTAGCGCTGCAGCTACGCTCGATACAGTTCAGAGCACTGGAGAATGTTGAAGTGAGTCATGTCTCAACAGTAATGGTGCTCCAACATTAATGTGAGAACTAGATACCACAGCTTACAAACTAAACTTCTAAGACTTGATAACTGTAGTTGTTCCCTTTCAGTTGGAGTTTATTGGCCTAGTACGACGGCACTTAAGGGTGCTTTCACACCTGTTGATCGATTGCTTTGTTCCAAAACAGGGATTAAAATTATTACAATGTTGCTTTTTATTCTTGGTGCGGTTCGCTTTCACACGGCAATGTTTCTAAACGGACCAAATTTGTTAATACAAGTCACGTGCTATTAAACTGTTCTCTCATTGGTCAGAGTTTCACGGTTTATTTTCCGGGATTCCACTAGCTGTCACAGCTGTCATCTGTCAGGATGGAACGACAACAGCTTCGCGGGCTTGTTGTTGTTGTTTTTTGTAGATGTAGTTATATTAATTTATCACTTTGAGCAGGAGTCCAGGATTCATGGGGAAAACATTTTTAAAATGCACATACTAGGAAGAAGAGCAATAAGACGGCATTATAAAATGAAAAATGCGCTTTGATTTTGAATGGCGAAGACGTGCTCACCCGCAGACATTCACAGGTTCATTTTGAAGTATTAGCTAAACAACAAAGCTAATGCTTTTCACGGAACTTACGTAATCACCCATTATACATTGTGATATAGCCTGGTTCGTTGGTCCGTTAGATCGGATTGCTTTCTCACTACAACCGAACTGCTCCAGAGTTCGTTTTCAATCGAGCCGAGACCACCTCGTTCAGGCGATCTCGGACCAATTGTTTTGGTGCGGATCCGAGCGCGATTGCCGTGTTCACATATGCCCAAACGAACCGAGCTAAGAGAGGAAACGCCAGGTTTCCGAAACAACGGGCCAGGTGTGAAAGCACCCTAAGAGGAAATTGTCTTGGTGAATTGCTTTCACGAATGTACTCATACTCTCATCTAAATTTTGCAGTGCCCTTTTTTACGGCTGTTCCCTTTTAAAGTGAGAGTTTCAGTGATTCAGGTGGAGGTCTGTCTCCCTGGACCTGACAGAGCGATGGGAGAGACTGTTGGCTCCACAGGGGCCTGCTCCACGGGAGGCTCACAGCCTTCTGGAGGCCGATCTCCCTAGCGCATGGCAGTGGAGGCATGTGTCTCCAACTGATGTGCCTCGTCCTTTCCTGCTTTGCTGAGACATCTCCCTCTGGATCTCTCTGTCCCTTTCAGAGCAATGCTCTGCTTGTTTTTCTAGAGGTTGCCATATGCGAATCGACCCATTCCTGATCATTAAGGCAGAAAGGACTCGCATGTGTGTGTGTGTGTGTGTGTCTCTCTTCTCTCTTTTGGTTCACCTCATGTGCAGATTTTCTTTTCTCGCCTTTTCATCCCCCCATCTTCTATTTCCATCTCCCCTCCTGTCTTTATCTCCTCTTTCCCCAGTGAGTAGGTAGTTGTCGTAAGACGCTAACAGATCATTGGAAAGGGATGAGTTTGCTCAGCAGATGGAGTGCAGTGGAGGCAGTTTCCTGTGCCCTGGTGTATTGTGGGAGTGTGCAGTGTTGAGCTATGTTCTCTTGAATAAGCAGTCCTGTGTCAGTGCTTTTTCAATGGCCAGCGGTTGCTGCATTTAACCCCAGAGTCCTACGAAATGTGCTGGTCTTCATTTTTTTTTCCCACAGAACTATTGGTACTGTGAAACAAAACGCAGCATGGGTTCAGGTCCATTTGTGTTAATTAACAGATAGAAGCATGATAGTATTACAAGGTTGTATTTGAGGGAGCAGATGAGATGTTGTGTTACGTTCTGCTCTGCTACAGTGGGCCACCTGCCCACTCGCCCGAGCATGAAGATGCTCCTGTTTGGCAAACTACCTCACATTATCTGAGATCATTATCCATTTTATCCCAAGCTCTGTGAGCCTTGAAAAGCATCTCTGTGGAGTGCTGTTTTGGCTCGTGTATATGAGGTGAGATTAAACTACAGGCCCTGGTTGCCCATTGCTTTAGCTCCTGCTGGACTGCATGTGATGTAAATCCCCTAGAAATGTTAATAAAAAATGCACCTGAATTTACAGCAGCAAAGCCCCCCATCAACAGTCCCAGAATGAGTCGCTCTGCTGAGATCCGCAAAGCTGAAGCCACTGTGTTTTCACATTAGAGCTCGAGTCCATTTGTGTGGTTTGTATGAAGGAATCATACCCAAGTTAACTTTTTTATTTTTCAGTTTGCTTTCTTTTACTTCTCTTTTAATGTTTTTGATACATTCTACAGTGGTAAACAGCAGTAGTACCAGAGCCTTCTGCATTTTGTCACCAATTTAAAAAGTCTAGACTATGAATGTATTCATAATTTAAATTAATACAATGTAAAAGTATAATTGTGTCATTTAATATATACATTTTAATTTTAGTTTTTCCTTTTGTTTAATATTTATTTTAAAATGTAAATGTAATATTATTTTAAATGTATTAAAAATATTGTTTTTATCTGTAATATTTATTTTTAAATTGTTTCAAGAATATTAAATTTTTATATGTATTTAAATTTAATAAATTCAAAATAAATATTTAAAAATGTTTATTGGTATATCATATTCTATCTGTGTAGTGTAATATTTATTTTTAAAATTATGTAACATTCTAATTGTTTAAAATGTATGACTTTAGAACACTTTAAGAGAACAGAAAACACATAGCCCGATGAAGCTGAGCTCTAGATAACTCAACTTTCAGTTCGATCAGCAAGAAGACTTCAGTATCTTTGTCACTTAAAAAAACAAAAACATGAGGTGCGTAATGGGCGTCTTCCTGCTGTGTGCATCTACAATTCATAACGCTCCGTGTCAAAAGCTTTGTAACTGAGCCGTCACTAATTTAGATCTACTGTCCTGGATTTGTGAAGTTACTTTGTCATTCAACCAAAGAAAAGCGCTGAGAGAGACCTGAGAGCATGCCAGAAAATGCCTGAATAAATCATGTGTTAAAATTCATTAGCAAAGCCTTTCTGAGCACCAATATGACAAGACATTAAATATGTATTATTTATTAAATGTCGGCACTTACGGAAAAGGGGGTCTAGTGATGTTAATTAGCCAGCCGTTCGGTCAAAAAGGACTATTTTAAATGGAAAGTGAAAGCTAAATCCAGGCACGGGTGGTCCTTCCCCCACCCCTGCAAAATTGACTTTAGGTGGAAATGAAGAGGCTAATTACAGCTGCTCTGAAATTCAAAGCTAATTTGGGGGCCAATATGACGGGCTAACTGACAACCGTTCTGAAGTGGCTTGTTGGAATGGCCACCAGGGATTTGAGTGGGAGTAGTGTGTGTGTGAGTATGGATAATGGATAATCACCGATGCACTCTTAACCAGCTCAGCGGCGTAAGTGGCAGAGGAGAGACACTGGCCTGTGTTTTATTGTGAATGTGATCGAAAGCTCTTAGACTGTTTGACGTGTGTGTGTTAGTGAGCGAGAGCAGCAGTTTGAGGTCACTTCTGTGATCTGGTAAAATGGAAGCGAAGGGAGCCGTTATCCACTCAGAGAGCCGCCCCTCTGCTGACTACATGCAAAGAGACAGAGGAAAAAAGGGAGGAAGAAAACAAGTAGAACAGTGAATACTGGAGTTGTAACTTCGTAAGAGTCCTTTCTGTTATTCAGGAGAGAGATGGCGAGAGTGAAAGAGAGGAAAGAGGGGTAATTATCTTCAGAAATGAGGCTCGGCGAACGATTCACACTGCTGGGCCCGCTGATCCGGTCGCCACGGCAACGCCGACCCACTCATTTGTTTTGCAGATGAGTAATTACATCCAATTAGACTACAGAGAGAGTGAAAAAAGAGAAACAGATGGAATAAGGGGTCTTTTGTTTCACGCTGATAGCTGGAATATTAATAATTGGGCTGAAGATCTGATCGACAGTGATACTGCAACTAGGAGCTGATCTGAAGTCTTCAGCAGTTCACACCTGAGAGCCTCACCTCCACACACACACACACTCTCCCACACTCGCTCGTTCTCCTGTTTATGGTTGCCATGGAATTTTGCTGTTAGATGTTGACATCAGTATGGGATTTCAATGCAAGTGCCCCATCAGGCCTCAGACTCTTTGCTGTACTGTCCATAAAGTACTGTAATATAGTGGTCAGGACTGGTGACCAGAAGATTGCTGGTTCAATCGAGCCATTCAGTGAGCACTTAACCCCAGGTTACTTCAATAAAGTCATGGTGGCATTCTATTCATTTTAATTAATTTTTCTTCAAAATTAAGTTTTCTGCAGTAAGAAAATTTGCAATATTAACTCAAAACAAAATTGTTAATTTATCTAAAGACCATAAAGTCAAGGTCAGTCACCTTGTTTTTTTTCTGCTTTTTAAAACTGGAATGCACATTTGTGGCTCATGCAGTGGTATTACTGTTCTCATTAACCCATATGCCCAGACTGCTGTAACAGAGATCTGCAGCTTTAGCATGCTGCCAGCTGAATTATCAAGCTCTGGTGATGTGCTGGAATATTGTGTTATTGATGAAGCGCTACAGCAGATGTCCATACAACTAAAACGGCATTCGACTGGTGTTCATTAGCAGACCGTTAATTTGCACACATATTGTGCCACACGGACTAAAAACATTTCTGCGGCAGACACCCACATCGCCCCGCCCCAAGAGGAGACGCTCGCTGCCTCTCGAACATGCTGCAAGAGAACATGTGTTGTTTTAGAAAGATCAGAGGAAAGCTATTATTTCTCTAACTTTGATGTCAGAGCAGCGTTGTCCGATCCCGCTCGGTTTCTCACCTTTGCTCAAGTGAAAGTAAATCATTTGTATGCTCTGAAAAGAAAATGAGCTGAAGAAGATAATCAGGCAGCGGCTCACTCCCAGATGGTTGCTTCTGCTGTCTTGCCATCCAACTGGAGAGCTCTTTTCAGCCTCATTTTATTCATATCCTTTTACACTGATGGCACTATCATTAGAGGCAATCTACCTGAACAATAAAGGTAATTTTCCCTGCCTTTATTAGATAAGACCTTCCCAACTGAGCGCCTTGTGCAGCTGAGGGCTAATTGTCCGTGTCAGCATAAACAAAGCAGCTTTGTACATCCGTTGTGTGTGTGAATGTCGGCTTTGTGTACTGCCTCTCCCAGTATCCTGTAATCGGCAGAATTAGGCAGATGGAACAGGAAGCCGCCATTGTGGTGTCCTGGCATCTGTGACTTGTGGAATGTGTGCGGCACGGTTCCACGAAGACATCGTGGGAGGGGGGGATGTTGCACGTTCGCCAACCCACGCCCTGCTCAGCCATTTAACAAATGGAGGAGTCTGTGTAGAGGTCGACTCTTGTTTGTTGTTAAAGATCTAATTAGAGTGTGCTGAAGAGGCAGCGGAAGCTTGTCTAATTAGCGGGGAGCAGAAAACCCACTTTAAAATTCAAGGACTGGCGATTAGAATGCACGTCGAAAAAATGGATTATGAAAAGAAAAGGGTGTCCCTGGCCTTTGTTTTGCTGGTGTGGTCTTTTTTGTAGTTGAGATCGAGCGTGAAAAGTTGGTTTAGTCCTGAGTAACAGTGCAGGGTGGGGAGAAAAAGATCCAAAAGACTCTGAACAGAAATGTCAATTTTTCACTAAAGAGCCAGGAAGCCTAGCAGTGACCTGAAACAACCCCAGTGTGTCCGACACAGAACTCTGTAGGAAACGCCACAGACTTCTGCAGAATTGGATTTGTGGGTGTTTATAACATTGAACACATCACTCACCAGCTTTGTTTAAAGGAATAGTTCATACAAAATAAACATTCTGTCATCGTTTACTCACCATTGTGTCGTTTCAAACCTGTATGACAAAAGAAGATAATGTGAAGAATGTCTTTATCCATAGAATGAAAATCATTGTGGATATAAATAATATCAGACCCCAATGACCCTCATTGTCTGGACAAAAAACAAAAAAAAACAAAACAAAAAAAACAAATTTTTCACAATATATTCTTTCATTTTGCTTAGAGGAAAGAAAATTGTGCAGGTATGGAATGATGTGAAGATGAGTAAATGATGACAGATTTTTCATTTTTGGGCAAAACTATTCCTTTAATATGTTTATGCTTTAAATTAAACAGTTTCAGAGAAATCATGGTCATATACATCTGCATATTTTTGTGCAGAGTGTGTCCATGGAATCATGCACGTGAAGCTTGAGTTTAGACAGAGATGTAATTGGAATCATTACAGCAGTACATTTCTGTGATTCCTCAAGTCACGTATTACAGTAAGCAGGCAGTGTTGGAGGTGTGCCATTCCTCAAGCACTTGAGCATAATTTGACAGGCAGGCGTTTTGCCCACAAACCACGGACGGTGAGGGAAAGTTGCGAAGCTGATGACAGAGAAACTATTTATAGCTTCAGATTTCTCTTGGCAACTGTTGAGGGCATAATCAGCGCTGGGATGTTCGGCACAGCTCCAGGATGCTCCTGCAGGTCCCAGACCCCAGTGAAAAGCAAACGTGCGACAAGGCAGACGCAAGATGAAAAACCTGTGTGGTGGATCTTGACTTTCTTTGATTGGATCATCTTAATGTTTCTGAAAAGCCAATGAAGACTTTTAATGCCCTCTGTATATCAAACCTGCACATAGGATTGAAAAGACCAGCTATAAATGTCAGCGATGCTGGAGCCATCAAATGACATCCTCTGAGGCGTTCATTATCCAATGAACAATTCCAATTCCATTTCCGCCATTCCAATGAAAAGTGTGTTTGTGACTGTTAATGATGTCTAACATCCTTTTTTGATGTTAATGTCCAATAAACATCAATGGAGCGCTGTTGAACCACATTTTATTCATCACTGTATTTGCCATATCTGACCTGTTCACTCATAGGTTTCTCTTTAGAGCTTTGCTAAGCATCTCTGTGATAGTCAGTTTGGTTTAGTGGGAATCATGTTACAAACTGAATACGAGTGTGTGTACGTGGGCATCATTCAGCCTCATGTTGTCTCCTGTCACGCATGCCTCACTGCCTCAGTCACTTCATCTTTGTGTATCATATAAACACCTCTCTTCTCAATGACGGCATCCCCCCTACTCTGCGTATTTCCCAGGGTTCCCCGATTACGGCTTTTATTCTGGGCCCGGTGACCAGCGGGGCACTCCCTGCTCCTTTGCCGACTATGCCACCCTGGGGCCCCATACGGGTCAGATGCTGCAAAGCGAGCACGTCACCTCTACCTGCAACTCACCCTCCCAGCACCACCCAAGCCCGGACCACTTTAAGAGCTCAGGTGTGTATGGCATATTTTGTCCTATACATGTGTTGCTTCTAACACCCGTTTATTCTGATGTATTGGGAAATACACCTTCATTTTTTCCTCATTCCAAATGTACATGAGTATCCCAGCATGCTGAGAGTTGTTGTCCTTCCTTACTTTTTCAAGGGTAAAAACCCTTCCATGTGTATCCACTCATGTACTGCATGTTTAAGTACAAAGAAATCAGTCCTACCTATAAATAAAATGACATAAAATATGATTAAAACACTTTATATAAATATATACTATATGTACTACATATTTAATTTTAATCTGTGTCATAAATGTGAGAAGTACCTTTATTAACAGAAATTAAAAGTTTGGACTGTATTTACATCTGTATCCCTTGTGATCACCTGACCGATGTTAATACAGTTGTAAACTCGTACAACATCTGTGTATGAAGCATAATTTAGGGTATTGATGATACGAGTTTGCAGGACCGAGCTCACCAACTTGAACTTTGGAACGCAGCCAAATTCGCCTGAGCTTTTGTTTCCTGTCTCCTGCATTGCATTATGTATAAATGGAAGTCATTGGAATGAAAAGTTTAATGTGACTGGCTGTTTAGAAATCAGATTTAAAATGAACCCTCTAGTCATGGAGGGACTACTCTGTGGAGTAACAGTCGTGTCCCGATGAAAGAGGCTGGGAAGTCACGCGTTGTGCAGCCCTTCTGTGGTACTGTCCTAATCACTGTGGCAACATGGCTTGTGTCAGGCCAGGTGTTGTGGATCTTTGAGATTTGGCTCCTTCTGTCCTACTTCTTTTGCCTCATTTCATTTGGCAGCCAAAAAAATGGAAAATGTCCTCTTACTTTACACCAGCGATCACGTAGATGTGGGTTTGGACTCAAGCCTAACCTGTGCTCATTTTGAGGCTGCAAACTTTGGATTCACAGTACAAAGGCTAAATCTAAATCCATTCATGAGTGTACATTATTTAAATGTAAAAAACATCAGTGTTCTTGTCATTTCTCTGAAATGTCACATTGTGGAAGTGAATGTGTTGGGAACTCCATTTCTGTTGACTTCAAGATCTCTGAAGTGCGTTTAGACCAAAAATTGGAGATACTTGACTTGTGAGTTGCTACGTCTTATTAGCTTTCTACTTTTCCAAGTCTTTTTTTCTCTCTTATGTTTTTGCGTTTACCAGCCAAAAAAAAAAAACATCCTTTAGTTTTATTTTTTGTTGACATTGGAAACAAAAACTCATCTAATTTCAGGGTGTCCGCGGGTCCTTAAAAAGTCTTAAAATGTCTTAAATAACGTTTTCCTAATATAAGGCCTTAAAAAGTCTTAAAATGTCTTAAAT